CTACCTTATTTACTTTCATATATTATGAAACAATTGGGAAAATGACCAAATGAATTTTTTCTGAGATATTTTTAATATATTTGTGAATACATGGGTGAATTATAATTCCATTGCTGGCTGATGCTGTGCTGAGTCAAAACAAATGGATACATGTTAATGAAATATATTGGTATATATAACTTTTGCAAAAACCAAAACTTTGCCCTGAGTAGGCATATCGGAATTGTTATAAATGAATGAAGATCTCAAAAAACAAAAACATAAAGGAAAGAAAAGAAAGAGAAAAAAAGGAAAATTTAAATGCACAGTTCTTCACTCTGTTTCCAGAATGAAAATGTAACATCACTGCATTCAGCCAGTAATTGAAAACATCCAGTACATCACCGGGAAATGGTGTTACTGATGGTTTCATGTAGAAGCGTTGATTCCCAAATTACCCAGAATCGTGAGTCGTTTTAATTGAACTGAAATGGGTTAATTAATAAATCATGTCTAACACCCTTTCCAAGGGCTACAGATTCTAAAACCCCATGTTTAATTACTGAATAACACAAAATGTAGCCTGTCATATGTGGATTATATTTTTAAAAAGTGTTTTGAGAGTACTGTTTTCCCAACTTCTTTCTACATAGGAGCTTGACTTCACCTATGGAATATTTTCAACATTTCCACTATAAATTCTTGTTGCAGATATTTAATAATCATAAAATATTCTACTAGAAAAAATAGGAAATTTCAGTATATTCCAATAGCACTATTTTCCCGAATGTATTTTACAGTGTCTTACATTACTCATATGCTCTGTTGTGAGACAGTCTATAACTGAACCAGAGTATCCTGACAGGTGAAATGAACTGTAAATGTTTAGCTTTGATGTGATAAAAATTTCCACAGCTTGGAAAGGGTGAAGTTACCAAGCAAAACCAGCATCTGTGGCATGTAGTGAGAAAGAAACTTCCTTCTCCAGCGGTCTGAAACCCAAGGTGACCGAGGAGTTGCTGAAATTACCTTGTGATCTACTGCTGCCTCCACTAGCTCTACAACTATCATATTTTCTTACATACTGTAGGGGTCTACAGGAAGAAATCAAGATGAAATAAGGTGAAATCCAAGCTATGTGTATGGATGAATGGCACATACATTGTAAAATAACCTCACCAAAATTTCTATCAATGCCAATTATATAATTATGTATACATCTTCAAGATCAAAAATCAATGTACACATTATCAGTTTCTTACATTTTTAGTCTGATTTTGATTAACACATACATGCAAATACACTTGCTTATATTTGGATAGCAAGTCTTCACAAGGCTGGACACTTCTGTTTTCTTTGTTTGAAAATGATATAATGCTCTATAAAATATGCTTATAAAATTTAAAGATCTTCCATAAAATATGAAAACAAATTGGGATTTGATCTTTGTGTAATGAATCCCATTTACTAAAAGAATGGGATAC